AAATCTTACAGAAACTTTCCGACTTCTTGTGCCTTCAAAATCAAACATTCTTGAACGGTCAACAATTTTTATGCAGCTGCTGAGTTGATTCTACACTGATAGAAAAGATTTGTTGTTGTTAATGAATGGATTTGGTTGGAAGCTAGAGTCTATTTGGCCTCACCAAATGTTCATTCGTTAATAGTTAACAAATACATATTTGAGGAGCCTTGTTTGACTCGACTTTCATCTTTCAAGTGAACCATTCGTTAACTATTAACGAATATTTATTTGGTCATATTCAACTCTGCCATTCGTTAATAGTTAACGAATCTCGTTTGGAATAAATGAATCATTCTATCAGTGTACGTTCCGTTCCGTAAACTTTCTCAATCGTTGGGGAAAAATTACGCAACTATTAGTGAGTCATCAGGCGGGTGGTTAATTTTTGCGGGACAAATCGTATAATTTACGTGGCGATTCGTACAATTTCAGTTGCAACTCACAATTTTACACGGAGAGGAATATTCAATAAAAATTACCTATCTTTTCTTAGGGATGTTCGACCCCTTTTAGCCAAAATTGACGTTGTTTTCATTTTTCTGGCAAATTATCGATGGGAGTGACGTGAAAAAATATAACGATTTTGTGGTTTGTCATTCTTTAATGGCTCACGAAGTTGCGTAGTGGTGCGATAATTTTCATGCGTTTTTTCTACAGTTTTGTGATTCTTTTTAAAAGTTTAGAGAAAACACAGGAAAATGTTCGCACCACCTTAAAATTTCGTCAGTCATTAAATAATAACAAAACGCAAAAACGTTATATTTTTTCACGTCAATTCCATCATAAGTTTGCCAGAAAAATTAAAAAAACGTAAATTTTGGCAGAAAGGGTGTAGAACATCCTTAATTCCGGAGCGAAATGTGGTTGTAGGAAATTTTACGGAACTGTCACGAAATTTTTTCGGAGCGTTCCGTAATTTTCATCTGAATCTCCTGTGAAAAATTACAATACCGTCACTTAAATTTTCTGAGTCAATTCCGTAATCGGTGAGTGAATTGTGAGTTCCGTAATTTTCATCTGAATCTCCTGTGAAAAATTACAATACCGTCACTTAAATTTTCAGAGTCAATTCCGTAATCGGTGAGTGAATTGTGAGTTCCGTAATTTTTACTCAACATTTCTCTCCGTGTATTGAATTTTACTTCGCTCGCGGATTACGTTTTGAAACGTAATGTTTCCGTTTTTTTCTGGTAATTTTTATTGAATTTTGCTCTCCGTGTGCGAAAAATTTTTTTTAGTATCATTGACTGTTGTCTTTCGTGCAATAATGACCTCACGAAATGACGTTAACATCCCCGTGGACCTGGAAAACCGTAAGAAAATTGTATTTCGAGTCGGATGAAATTTAAGAGTATTTTCGGGGTGGGGGAAGATAACTTGTCTCCAGTGATGCGGATCTGGGGATGGGAAAAAGGAATGGCAGAAGCCGGAGTAGGCCTAATTCAATTGCAGGCCGCCGCTCCGCAAACACTCATGATAATTCAATCGAGGCTGTGCACCCCAACGTCCACACGGGGGGGAGTCTTTTTTCCTCGTCTACTGGCAGCCGCGCCGCCACTACATCCCCCCCCCGTCGCCCTTTCTCTCTCACTCTTTTTCATACATTATACGCTTGGATCATTGCCGACGGGTTTCAATGATGTTTGTGTGTGTATTTTGTGTGCCACAGTGAGGCATAAAGGGAAAGGGGGGATGCGTTAAAGTATCTCGTAATCCAGCGATGAGAACATCTGCAGTAATCGGGTAATGATGAGGATGGTACATCGGGGAAATAATGAAAAAATTGAGGATGATGATGTTTAATTTATTGAGCGTGAAGGGAAATTGGAGTTGATTATTTTTTTCTGCAGGGAAATCAGTGATTGATTGCTACGACCGATCAGTGGATCGATCGGTGGCTGGAACTTGTTCATTACTTTTCTTTCTTTGGTGGTAGCTGGTGGGAGATTAACTTCTTTAACCCTTTTGTTGTTTGGAGTTTTTTCTTTTTAATGTGGAGAAATTCCAATCTTTGCAAGTGGGTAAATGACGAAAAAATTGGGGATCATGATGTTTTCTTTAGTGAGCGTGAAGAGAAATTACAAATGATTCATTTTTTTTTGGTAATCAAATGTGTTGATTGAAACGAGGATAAAAATTCAATAAATTAAGCATTCATTCTGTTTTTTACATTTAATCAATTGATTAAATTATTGAAATAAATTTAAAAAATTAAGTGATAAGGGGATCAATCGCTACAATTTTTTCGTTTTCATGGTATCTGATGTGAGTTTAACCCTTTCAACCCTTCTCTTATTTGCATTTTTTCTACGTCTCATGTGGAGAAATTCTAATCGAGTCCAAGTGGGTAACGAATGGAGAAATGGATTTTTTTTAATGTGAAGAAATTCCAATCTTTGCAAATGTGTAAATCACGAAAAAATTGGGGATGATGATGTTTTCTTTAGTGAGCGTGAAGAGAAATTACAATTGATCCATTTTTTTTTGGTAATCAAATGTGTTAATTGAAACGAGGATAAAAATTAAATAAATTAAGCATTCATTCTATTTTTTACATTTAATCAATTGATCAAATTAGTTAAATAAATTTAAAAAATTAAGTAATCAGGGGGGCAATCGCTCCAATTTTTGCGTTTATTAGTATCTGATGTGAGTCTAACCCTTTTAACCCTTTTCTTATTTGCATTTTTTCTACGTTTCATGTGGAGAAATTCTAATCGAGTCGAAGTGGGTAACTAATGGAGAAATGCATTTTTTTTTTGTGAAGAAATTCCAATCTTTGCAAATGTGTAAATCACGAAAAAATTGGGGATGATGCTGTTTTCTTTAGTGAGCGTGAAGAGAAATTACAATTGATCCATTTTTTTTGGTAATCAAATGTGTTAATTGAAACGAGGATAAAAATTAAATAAATTAAGCATTCATTCTATTTTTTACATTTAATCAATTGATTAAATTATTTAAATAAATTTAAAAAATTAAGTAATCAGGGGGGCAATCGCTCCAATTTTTGCGTTTATTAGTATCTGATGTGAGTTTAACCCTTTCAACCCTTTTCTTATTTGCATTTTTTCTACGTCTCTTATGTGGAGAAATTCTAATCGAGTCCAAATGGGTGACTAATGGAGAAATGTAGGTGATGGTGTTATTCATTGAGTATGAACGGAAATTAATGATTATCAATTTCTTGTTGGAAATAAATGAATCATTGACTCGAACGATCAATTAGGAACTTGTTCATGATTATTTTCGTTCGAAGTTGACCGTGTCAGATCGTCTCCTGCAACCCTTCTCTTTTTTTCTCATCTTCAGTCGGAAATTTATGAATTCTCTTTCTTTGTTGATCGCGTGAGATTGTCTTTTCAACCCTTGACACTAAAAACGATAAGGGCAAATCAACCCCTACGTCATGTATTTCACCTTTTCTTGAGTATATTGCGGTCTTATCCGTCTAGGGGATGAAATGACTCAAAGATAGGGGTAATCCATCATTCTTTCGGTGTGAATACCTTTCGGTGATACCAAAAGGGGAAATTTTTTCCCTGTCTACGGGTGATTTATTATTTGTAAATCACCAAGAAAGAAAGGGGTGAAAGATCCTCAAGAAGGGGTAAAATGCCATAAACGCGGGTTAATTCACCCTTACCATTTTCTGTGTTTTGTTATTTTCGATTTCCTCATGTAACAGTTGCTCTCATAAATTTTTAGGCAATGAGAATGCTACATCGATGAAAAATTCAACGATGTTTAATTCGTAAACGTGAAAGGGAATTAAAATTGATAATTTTTTACGGGGAATTAATTATCGATTAAAATTATCAATCAGCGGATTAGGATCTCGATGGAACTTGTTCATGATCTGTTTTCTTTCTTTGCTCCAAGCAGTTGCTGCGTAAGATTAATTCCTACCGCTTTCGTGATTAGAAATTTGGTGATTATCACCAAAAGGGGAAATTTTTTCCCCTCCTACGGGTGATTTATCATTTATAAATCACCAAGAAAGAAAGGGTGAAATAGCCTCAAGGGGTAAAATGCCATAAACACGGGTTAATTCACCCTTACCATTTTCTGTTTTGTTACTTCAGATTTCCTCATGTTTCTATGCGAAGAAATTTCAATTCAGTCTTTGTCCCACTCTCTGCAGCTCTCTATAACAGTTGCTCTCATAAATTTTTGGGCAATGAGAATGCTACATCGATGAAAAAGTCAACGATGTTTAATTCGTAAACGTGAAAGGGAATTAAAATTGATATTTTTTTACGGGGAATTAATTATCGATTAAAATTATCAATCAACGGATTAGGATCTCGATGGAGCTTGTTCATGATTTGTTTTTTTTTTTCCTCCAAGCAGTTGCTGCGTAAGATTAATTCCCACCGCTTTCGTGATTAGAAATTTGCTTATCTCGTTCATTTCTATCGCGTACTTTCAGTGATTTGCAGAGTTGCCGCGATTTTTTAAATGATCGAACAGTAAGAGAAATTGGTGCGAGATATCTTCAACCACTCCAATTCTTCATGAGCTGTCAAAAAATATTATTTACGAATAGAACATTGGAGCACTCTTAATATGTCATAATTTACGGCTTTTAACAGCTCCATGAATAAATCACAGCAGATAACGTGATCTCTACTTCAATATTAGCCGTTAATTTATGTTACCTGTCCGAGAACAATTGTTCTCGTATCATATCAAGAAAGTGTGTCAGAAAATTTGAACGATTGACAATTACTCAATCTCCCCTGTCACATTTCACCAATTTCCATCACTGAACAATCATGAGATATCGACGCGAACGACATGTTATAAATTTTGACTTATGTATCAATTGCACAATTCGATTTCGACTTGCATTTCACTTCCAAATCAGATGACGGACTCGATAAACTGATAATCGGCTGAATTAAAGTTTTTCCTATGAGCAACAATCAGTCGATTAATTACACCGATGTACTTACTCTGTGAAATTGGGTCAACAGGTTCATCCTGCACCTTAATCGGTGATATTTTGACACTCCTGGGTGGGCCTTGAAGGCCAATGTGTCCGGGCCCTCCGATCGGACCCGCTCTCTGCATTACGCTGGAGCCCCCTATTTTGGGTTGTTGCAACGACGCAAAGCGTCGATCCCTCTTTCGTCTTATCGTCCGAGTGCTTGAATCCTCAGTGGCAAATATCACTTCATTTGAACTTGAAATGAAAGTGCCAGTTTCCCTCTCATTTCTTCATTTTAACCTCACAAATTCCGCGGTGAATATCTATGTACAGATTTTTAAAATCGAACCTCGTTCGATACGTTGTTCGTTATCGCAATGCGTCAAGCTTGCGCTCGATAAAATCATCGTTGGGTGAAATCATCCTCGTTGGATCGATCAATTATTCATCGATTTCGGCTTCCAGCTGTCATCCCCGGGCCATCATAATCCATCGAATCCTCATTGTTCACCGCCACATGATTTTCCACTTCAAGAGACACAACAACAATTTTTTTATTTCCAGTGACGAATCCTTAAGCGTCCGTTTTAATCCGTTTGTTTTGATCCAGTTGGATTCGTATTGCTTAGAGCAGCGAAGGGACAAGGGAGAGGTTTAAAAAGCCCACGGAACTCGGATTTTTTTAATGAAAATAAATAGACAACAATTGAAGGAGAATTTAGGGGTTGAAATAATATTGAAACCAGTGGTTGTGTATTATTTTATTGAGCAACCCCGACGATGTTGACGACGCGGGGCCCGGAGAGGCACTGACTATTGCTTGGTTTCTCCCCTCGAACAAGTCTCGTCTCTCTCACTCATGCGTTTTCCCCTCCACCTACGGCCGCCGCCGTGGGTCTCGTGCTTCTCTACCCTTCATAGTTATAACATTTAAGCCCCTCTCTCTCCGGGGGGAAGAAGAGATTTGGGTTTCCCCTCGACAGCCGACTACCTCCACGCCTCCTCTGTATCCCATTGGATCCTACGCCAGATACGCCAACAAAATGGCCGACACCCTAATCGATTCCCACCACCACCTTCACCCACCTCCACAGTTCACCTACAACTCTGTACGTTGGTAACGCACGGTTTTTTGCTCTCGTTACTTCAGTATCAATTTTTACCATTTTTTTTTTCACCGCGGAGATCGATTTCCGGATTTTCCTGGGGACCGTGTAGTTGGGGGGATGGTGCAGGAATTTTCGTGGGTTATCGGCGATCTCGGAAGGGGTTTAATAATTTGGTCAGACGAGGTTTCTCGTTCAGTGATGTTACACTTGGTTTTTCGGGATTTATTGTTCAGCGTGGGTTCTTTCGGTTTGAGATCATATTCGTTGATGTGGCTTCATTTAGTTATTCGAGGCAGACAAAATCGCGCCCGTTTGCTTACAATTATCAATTCTGGAAGAAAGGGAAGACAATAGACGCTTCTTTTCGTTTGGTAGAATATCTCTTCACCGGTCGATTTACGGGTTTTGGCAACTCCAGTAATTACTCCAGATTACTGGCCTGTTAAGAAATTATTGATAATTTGGGCAGAAAATTTTTTTAGATTATTGATACTCCAGCAGCTTTTTTGGGATTTATTATTGCGGTTTTCATTGCGTGATTTTTTTGGTTTCGACATCATATCGAGTGACATGTCTGACATATCAGAGGCAGACAAAATCAGACCCGTTTGCTTACAATTATCAATTCTGGAAGAAAGCGAAGACAACAGACGCTTCTTTTCGTTTGGTAAAATATCTCTCCACCGGTCAATTGACGGGTTTTAGTAACTCCAGTAATTACTCCAGATTACTGGCCTGTTAAGAAATTATTGATAATTTGGGGAGAAAATTTTTTTAGATTATTGATATTCCAGCAGCTTTTTTGGTATTTATTATTGCGTGATTTTTTTCGTTTCGAGATCATATCGATTGACATGTCTGACATATCAGAGGCAGACAAAATCAGACCCGTTTGCTTAAAATGATCAATTCTGCAAGAAAGCGAAGACAACAGCCGCTTCTTTTCGTTTGGTAAAATATCTCTTCACGGGTGGATTTACGAGTTTTAGTAACTCCAGTAAAAATTACTAGACTATTAATAAATTATTGATAATTTGGGCAGATAATTTTTTTTGAATATTCATATTCCAGTAGCCCGTTCGGTATTTATTATTGCGGTTTTCATTGCGTGATTTTTTTGGTTTCGAGATCATATCGATTGACATGTCTGACATATCAGAGGCAGACAAAATCAGACCCGTTTGCTTAAAATTATCAATTCTGCAAGAAAGCGAAGACAACAGACGCTTCTTTTCGTTTGGTAAAATATCTCTTCACGGGTGGATTTACGAGTTTTAGTAACTCCAGTAAAAATTACTAGACTATTAATAAATTATTGATAATTTGGGCAGATAATTTTTTTTGAATATTCATATTCCAGTAGCCCGTTCGGTATTTATTATTGCGGTTTTCATTGCGTGATTTTTTTGGTTTCGAGATCATATCGATTGACATGTCTGACATATCAGAGGCAGACAAAATCAGACCCGTTTGCTTAAAATTATCAATTCTGCAAGAAAGTGAAGACAACAGACGCTTCTTTTCGTTTGGTAAAATATCTCTTCACGGGTCGCTTTACGAGTTCTAGTAACTCCAGTAAAAATTACTAGACTATTAATAAATTATTGATAATTTGGGCAGATAATTTTTTTTGATTACTGATATTCCAGTAGCCTGTTCGGTATTTATTATTGCAGTTTTCATTGCGTGATTTTTTTGGCTTCGAGATCATATCGATTGACATGTCTGACGTATCAGAGGCAGACAAAATCAGACCCATTTGCTTTAAAAATTGTTCATTCTGCAAGAAAGCGAAGACAACAGACGTTCTTTTCATTTGACAAAATCTCTTCTCACAGATCGATTTACGAATTTTAGTAACTCGAATAGAAATAACAATATTTAGGCGAAGAATTTCGATATTCTTGGGTACTTTATGCTTGAAACATTGGACTTTTTACCAGATTTAAAAAACCATTCGTGTTTACAAGTCTTCAATTTTTATCCATTTTTTATCATATGTCAACACTAAATTTTTCTGTGCAGCTGCATCCAATTTTGAGATAAAATCGACTGACAGATTTAAAACGTTCGCAGAGGTAAGAAGAATCATGCACGGTTGACTAAAAAGTCCCTAATCCTGCGAGAAAGCGCACACCTTTTTTCACTAAACGTAATCGCTAACTAAAACGTGCCTCGACCAAACCGAGCGCACTAAAACCCCAGACTGCTCTTTTTTTCCCAAAATATTCACGCCTCAACTACACTACACTATTTTCTTGTCCTTTCCCAAATACAGTCCAGTCGTGTGACACTCCTCAGTGATTTTCAATGGGGATGCAAGGAATCTCGAAGTATTTAGGAACAAAAAAAAATTGGTGCAAGAAGTGAAGATGCTACCGGAGAAAGGCTCTCATGGGGAGAAAAACTCAGCCGACAAAGATATCAGGGGCTTCCAGATGCTCTCGATGAAGTGCCTCCGGATCCTAGTACTTGAGCTGCAGCGGAAAGAATCAATGACTGAAATTTCTGTCACAGTGAGAGGATTTTCATAGGGGAAAAAATTCGTGTTCCAAGTAAATTCAGGAAATGTAGCTGATTTTGGGGTTTTACGTGTGGATAATGATCCTGCAGGTTTTCTGTATACTTTGAAAGACGCCGGATTGGTGGGTTTTCGTCCTAATCCTAGGGGAATTTCCCAAACCCCGATTTTTCGCCCAATCCCCGCAAACAAGAAATTTTTGAATGGGGAAATTTGTTTTTTATTTGCGGATCCTAATCCCAAAAATCTACGAATTTGCATTTTGCCAAATACATGAGGGATTTTTCTTTCAAAAACGGTCGGTAAATTCTAGTGATTATGTAGCTCTCCGCGCGACTTTTACCGAACCCATTGAGAAATTGCAATATTTTTATGGAATTTTTACATAAAATACTGTTAAATATTGTTTTGTATGATGAAAATTAGTGATGCCGCGAGAGACTTTACGAGACATGACGAGACAATACTTTGAGGAGATTGTCTCGGTCTCAGTGAACGTGGAAATTTTTGGTCTAGTCTCAGTCTCGAAATACGCAGTATCGACTTCTGTCGTGATGACTCCGAATCAATTTACCTCACCTCGGTTTCCAGTTTTTCGTGTTTTTTATATGTAAAAAATTGAGACGACACAAAGCGCGACAAAAACCGAGATTTTACATTAAAAATACGAAAAACTTGCGACTGAGATGAGATAAATTGACTCGGAGATTTTGAGACAAGGACGAGATTAAAGATTTCCATGTTCATTGACATCGAGACCATCTCGCCAAAGTATTGTCTTTTGTTTATTTGTATAAACTCCTCAGTCACGAGTAAAACAGTAATGAGAAATTTTAAATATACCTGTTCTTTTAATTTTTAGAAAAACTATCATTTGGACATAAAAATACACTGATAGAACGGTTTAATCGAACCAAACGAGACTTTAACTATTGCTATGATTCGTTAACAATTAACGGATCGCGGTAACAGTTAAGCACCCTCGTTTGGTGCAACTGAATCGTTCCACCTTTTCTATCAGTGCATCGAGAGAAATTTTTGATACAAATTACGCTATCGTTCTATAAAAGAGTATCATGAGTCATTCTTTCCTCATTTCTATCTCGAAATTTAGTAAAAATTAATATATGATGATCAAATTTTATTCTACGTTAGAGAAATTTTATCCTGACGCATAATAAATTTTACCCTTCTAGTCCAATAATTTTTATATAGATAACAACGAAAATTCTAGAACAGTTGGTAAATTTTACCCTACCGGTACAGTAATTTATACTCTACCGGCACGGTAATTTTTATTTTTATGTCATAGGTGCCCAGAATCACGCGATTCTAACCTCGCTTCGCTCGGTAGAATCGCGGATTCTGGGCCCTATGACATAAAATAGTATACGAAACTCGTGCGTAATTGAGTTTTTTGACTCGTGGGATTGTAAAACTCGCCTTCGGCTCGTTTTACAACTTCCCACGAGCCAAAAAACCCATTACGCACTTGTTGCGTAATATAGGGGAGGGTGGGGCAAAACGGCCCCCCTTCAATTGTCAATAACTTGTGAATGACATTGTGAAAATTCCCAGTTTCAACTTCATTTTGAAGATAATTTTTCATTCTTCAAAACGAGCTCTAACTCATCCCAATCGGATTATTGAATCGGAAAATATTGACGATTGAAGGGGGGCCGTTTTGCCCCATCCTCCCTTACTATTATCAGGATAAAATTTCTCTAACGTAGAATAAAATTTGATCATCACATATCAATTTTTACTAAATTTCGGGATAGAAATGAGGAAACGATGACTCATGATACACTTTTACAGAACGGTAGGATAATTTTTATCAAAAATTTCTCTCCGTGTGTATAAATGTATACGACGTAGCCATATACGTCTTCTGTCAGATCGAAACCTCTCAAATCTCCCCCGTTATCTTGAATACCCATTGAACCATATTGAAAACTGCACGTACCTCGAAAAATATCAGCGGTTGATTCCAGGTAGACTTACCTCACCCCCCATCACCAAAGGTGAAACACAGGAGATAATCTCCAGAATATTACGTCAAGGTAGAGCGAAACGTCAAGGTATTCTCCCACTTCCCCTGTTTGTCAAGTTTTCTAGTGCCAGAAATGAGGTCGAAGGTAGGACTGAAGGATAATCCGTACACCTGT